GCAGGAAGCTGGGATGCGAAGCAGAGCCAGGACTCAAACCCCAGGCATCCCGATGTGAGAGGCAGGCACACTGAGTGGCATCTCAAACCCAACTGCGCTTTATGTGACGTCCAGGGAAAGCTATCCCCCAAAGTAGAAGTCTGGGTCCCTCACAAGCAACGATGTTCAGGGCAGCTACTACTTCAGGCATCCTCTTGGTCACCAGCTTTTAGCTTGGCACCGGAACCCAGCAGGCACACAAATGCTGGTGGGACACGGCTGTAGGCACAAGTGCAAACATCTATCCCAAGGTTTTGGGATTTATGGCAGGGGTCCCTCCTGACTTGGGGAGGGGTGTCTTCTATTCCACGGGAATCCCAGTCCCATTTTCCGTTATGAAACACATGCTTTTTTGAATTAAGCCCTCAAACACATTCTGAGCTAACTCACCAAGGATAGAACTTGGGTGTTAACTTGCCTGACTGAGATCTACTTCTTTGCAGCGAGTCATGACAGCTTTGCCATTCGGAGCAATTTCAGTGATGGAGGCTAGGGTACAGGAGAGGGGATACTGATGGCAGCAGGTGATGTCATGGCTTAGGCTGTGAAACACAATATGAGTTAAACCAGATAAAGGCCATATTCTGGTGTCTAATTCAAAGAACAAGTGCTATGATCACACTCCTACAGGCCAACAGGCAAAGGCTGTGTTGAACCTGACACTCATGTTTCTTTCCATACGCATTCCAGCCCTAGCCCTCAATGAAGAACTTTCAGAATGACGGAAGGGGAGGGAGGAAAGCAGGCTAGGCACCAGGCTGGCCTTCCTTGGTCCAACAACTGCTGCTTTGCAAGTGCTGGGGCGGCAACAGCAGGCGTCACTGGCACTCGGGACTCCTAGGTTCACAATCCCATTGGTGCAAAGTAGAAGGCATGCAGCTCACAGTGTTAAAGCAATGGAGCTAGACCAACCACAGGAATGAACGGATCAAGGGCTCAGCTATGTGGAGTCACCTCAAAGGATCTCCAAGCCACTCTGGAAGGGAGGGGCTGAGAGGGGGTGATATATGCCATGAGCTAGTGTGGTCAGGAGGGGCTTCACGGAAGCCAGGTCACCTGAATGAGGAGGAAGCGAGGGCTGCCCAGGAGTTGGACACAGAAGGTGCTGGCAGAGAGGTTGGCCCTGTGGTCACACCAAGAAGCAGGGAGGAGAAAGGTTCACAAAAGGCAGCTTTGGGTTGCTTGCTGGTTTTGCATTACAGTCTAACTGCAGAAACTTCAGGGCACGGCCACAGTTTGGTTCCTAGTCCGCAGCATCCACGTAGCCGCTATGGTCTACTGACTGTTACTAACACCATCTGCGATTTTATTTTCTCTGGAAGGGGCTCCTCAGCCCTTGTGCAGTACAGTGCCCAGCCCCATGGCTACGTGCTTTCTGGCGACTACCTCTCTCAGGATTCATTAATTTAGCAAATATTTCTTGAGCGTCTACCATGAAGGTACAACTGTGTCCAAGGACCCTAGTCCTAAAAGAAGCAGCTCCTCTTCTCATGGAGGTCCTACATTTTCACCAGGGACTCTACAGGCACAGCCAAAGGCCAGCACTCTGAAAGGGAGGAAGATCTCAGGACAGCCAGGAGAAAAGGAGAGAGAGAGAGGGACGGGGATTGCTGACTAAGCCCACGTGTCTCCACTTCCTACCAGACCTCAACTCGCTACGCCATGAACCGCACACCTCGAGGGTATAGGCACGCTGCCTGGGAGCCCTTGCTCTAAAACCTCTACTCAATACTAACACGCATAGCCAACAACAAATACATGGGCAGTGACTGTTTCAGGAAAGCAGATTAATTTTAAAGTATAGGTTGATCGCCTGTAACAGTGCAGAAAATTGAAGAAGAAGAAAAAACTACCCAAACAAAAACCAGTTAATGCCTTTAAAAGTCATTACAATGAAAGAGACTAACGGGACTATGAACCACAGAAAAGTGGAGCTGGGCTGGATCATTTCCTTTGGTCAATAATAGGTAAATGACGGTGTCATTAAGAAAAGGACTTCTTGCAAAAGAACAGTTTAATCCCAGGAAAAGGAAAGAGTAAAAAGGTTACATTAAGGGAATCAGGGATAATCTCTATCAATTACCCAGAGTCTTTCCTGTTGGGGAAGTCTCAGAAGAAGAACAGGAAGAGAGCCGGGTCATGATCCAGGGTGCTTACGCTTTGTTTTGAGATCCAGGACTTTGGCAGTCTGGCTTGTGGCTAAGCAGTGACAGCGAAAACTACAAGCGCTGCGTAACCCCAGAGAGCAAGTGGGCGACGGTGGAACATGCCAACACTGGCTACAGAAGCACTCAGCTGTCAGGCAGGCCTGGCTGGCATCCTTCTGAGGCTACAGGAATCAAACTGCTAGGTGGCGGGGGCGTTTGGAAGATCAGTGGGCAGAATCCAGAAGAGGGCTCACAGACCATGTCCTTTGGAGGTCAGAGTTCCTGCTGGATGGGCCCTGGTGGGACAGCAGACTAAGCCCAGGAGCCCATGCAGACCGGCTGAAGTCACTGCTGTCCTTACGCCCAGAGACAAAAGGGGTCTCCTAGGCAATAGTGACCTTGACAGTGGCCCATCTGAGTCTCTACCGAGATTTGCAAAGGAAGCAGTGCCACTCTGAAGTCAGAGTGTGCTGGCAGCAGGGGAGGGCGTTCCAACAGGGGTGGCCTGCATCCTGTCGGCCCTGCCCTGCAAGCTCTTCATTGCCCATTGTGTTCTGTAATGTCCAAGTTTCTGTTTTGGGGGAAGAAAACTAGAATTTAGGGGAATTCAGGGTTAGCATTCCCAAAATAACTCTCAAAATATATTTAAAGGAAGGTTGACACTGAAGGACTTGCTAGTGGACAGGTACTGTGTTAGCTTAGAAGAGAGATGGAGTCTTGAAGTTTAGGGGCCATTAATGTGGCACAGCAGGTTAAGCCGCTGCTGGTCATGTCAGCATCCCATTTGGGTACTGGTTCTAGTTCCACCTGCTCTGCTTCCAATCCAGCTCCCTGCTAATGGCCTGTGAAAAGCAGAGGAAGACTTAGGCCCCTGCTACCCACATGTGAGACCTGGATGAAGTGCCTGGCTTTGGCTGGGCACAGCCTTGGCATTGCAGCCATTTGGGGAGTGAACCAGTGGATGGAAGATTTTTCTGTCTCTCCCTTCTCTCTCTCTGGAACTCTGCTTTTCAAATAAATGAAATAAATATTGAAAAGAAGTATAAATTCCAAATGTGCCAACTGAATTCATTCAATATTTATTTTTTATTTATTTTTTATTTTATTTTATATAGCAAGAGAGGGAGACAGAAAGTTCTTCCTTCCGTTGGTTCACCCCCGAAATCGAGCTACAGCCGGAACTACGCTGATCCGAAGCCAGGAGCCAGGTGCTTCCTTCTGGTCTCCCATGTAGGTGCAGGGGCCCAAGCCTCCATTGCCTTCCTGGGCCACAGCAGAGAGCTGGACTGGAAGAGGAGCAACCGGGACAAGAACCCGGAGCCCATAAGGGATGCCGGTGCCACAGGCGGAGGATTAACAAAGTGAGCCACAGTGCCGACCCCTCAATAATTCTTAATAGGAGTACTTCTGGGGTCGGTGTTGTGGCGTGGTCGGTAAAGCCTCCTCCTGTGATGTTGGGATCCTACTTCCGATCCAGCCCTCTGCCAATGCGCCTGGAAAAGTGCAGAAGATGACCCAAGTAGTTGAGCCCCTGCACCCAAGTGGAAGACCTGGATGAAGTTCCTGGCTCCTGGCTTCAGCCTGGCTGTTGCGGCATCTGGGATGTGAACCAGCAGAGGGAAGATCTCTCTCTGTGTTTCTCCTTGTCTCTAACTCTACCTTTCAAATAAATAGCTCTGGAAAAAAAAAGTGAGTACTTCTTGTAACAAGAGTCTTTTCCCTAACACACTGAGTTTGCTGCTTGTGGGATGAGGGGCATTTGCAGAACTCAACTTTGTAAGAGAGCGAGTTGACGGAAGCCCAGCCCCTGCATTCTGCTGCTCACAGGGTAACACACACTGCTGTTCTCCTGTTATCCCCAGATACAGTGCAGGGCAGGGACCAACCAGGACTCAGAACCACAGCCCTGCCTCAGTTTTAGCCTTAGGAGAAAGCGTGGCTAAGAGCAGGGTCTGACAGTCAGGAGGAGGTTAGGTTTGGCAGTGGTGGTGGGGTCATGTTAACAGCTAACAGATGAAGTTACAGATTAACTCATCATTGCCATTAGTTAGTTAATGTACAATTCGTACGTAACTTCAATAGTCTTGGCCCAAGTTCAGAGTAAAAAAAAAAAAAAAACCAAGCTGTGTTGCCTTTTCTTATTTAAAATTTAAAGAATAAAAGGGAAAGAACTACTCACACAACTGACATGAATGCATTTCAAAAATCATCATGTTGTGTGAAAGAAGCCAGATGGAAAGAGTGGATACTACGTGATTCCATTCACATAAAAACTCTATAAAATGCAAATTAATCCATAGAAGTCTGCATGATGGTTGTCTGGAGACAGTGGAGGGACAGGTAGGAGAGAGGGCAGGACTTCCAAGGGCAGCGGAGAGGAGCTTTGGGGAGTGTCGGCTCTGTTCATCCTGATTGTGGTGATGGCTCCATGGGTGTGTGTGTATATAGGTCAGATTTTATCAAATTGTATACCTTAAATATGTGCTGTTTATCATGTCTATTGTACTTCAATAAAGATTTTTTTTAAAAAAAACTGGGGTGTGTGGCGGAACTGACTATTCTTCTCCCTTTATTGCCCTTACTGCTTAAAAGAGAAACTGTTACGATGGAACTGTTATGAACCCTTTATCATGTGAATGCTTTTTAACTTTAGTTAATATAGGAAAAATCCCAAAACCAGTTTCAAAAATTGTCCAGACGGAGCAAGATAATACCTCCTTGTGATATCTAAAATAGTACCAACATTTTTTCTTTTCCTGGAACCAACTTTTTATGGTTATCAATACTCCCATCACTGTAAGCTGCCCTGGGTATCATATTCTTTCTCATATGAATCAAAACTCATACTGAACAATGAGTTCTGGATTAAAAAAAGAATTTATTGTGTGCACCTGTCTAGACTCTCTGTCTACAAGTTTAACGAAAACAAAAACATCCCCACACAAATGCTATTGGCTTAATATTTTAGGACGAATCTACTGTCAATGAATCTGGATGAATGGGTAAGTTTTACTAGCAGGAAGGAGCCTGACTGGACCCTGGGCAGCAGGAAGCTCTCAGGTCAGTGTGCATAACACTCAAGGTGAGGATGACCAGGGCTGCAGGGTGCGTGTGTACACTTGCTACTGCTGCCCAGAGTCGGGGGGCCTGGCAGCCTTAGGGGTTGGTTAGTTTATTTCTGTCTTTATCATTTACTAAATAGAAACCCTTGGGCAAATCATTTAAATTTTTTTGGTAAGATTTGTTTATTTATTTCAAAGTCAGAGTTATGGAGGGAGGGAGAGAGAAAGTGCACATAAGTAAGCAATCTTCTACCTGCTGGTCACCCCCCAAACGGCCACAACAGCCAGGGCTGGGCCAGGCTGAAGCTGGGAGTTTCACCTGGGTCTCCCACGTGGATGGCAGGGGCCCAAATACTTGGGCCATCTTCTGCTGCTTTCTGTAGGTCATCAGCAGGGAGCTGGACTGGAAGTGGAGCAGCATGAACACAAACTGGTGCCCATAGGGGATGCTGGCTTCACAGGTGCTGGCTCTACCTGTTCTGCCACAACACTGGGCGTATCTGACAGTGGGTTTCCTCATCTACAGAACCGGGACAGCGACAGCACTTTATAGGGTTTTTGAGGAGATCAACAGCTCATGGGTATAAAGTGTTTGGCACAGGCTGGATCCTGTGCTGGTCAAGGACAGCACTGATGCCTACTTGTTGATCGTCTTCAATGAGGAATGGCACTGAGGTGTTGACTGCTGCAAACCAGACACTGCTTTCAGGGGAGGGGACCTAGGTTTGAGTTTTCAACTGAGTGTCAATAATTTTTTCAGTGACTGCTTTAGCTTGATACAGTGAATACGAGTGGTCTTGCTTTTCTCCTCACTTCTTCCAGTTTTCCCTTGGAGTGGGACTGAAATAATCTCCGCACCTAGACATGGAGACGTTGCTCTTTCATGATTGTCAATCCTTAAATGATTGAGCCAAAGAACCCAGTATCTCCTCCTATCAAGTGTTACCAGAAATTCATACCTCTCATGCTAGACTGAAAAAACAAAAACAAAAACAAAAACAATGGCCACAGTATTTTATACTTCTTCCCAAGAGATGGGGTTCTTTTGTCTACCCCTTGACTATGGGCTTGTCTATATGGCCTGATCTATGCAGTAGGACTGGAGCTGACAACAAGCAGAGGCTTGGAAAGTGCCTTCGATCTGCCCTCTCTCATTCTTCGGAGCCCTGAGACCACCATGTGACAAAGCCTGGGCTAGTCTACTGGATCATGAGAGCCCACATGTCATGAGAGCACCAATGTCACAGGTTGAGGCCCCAACCATTGAGTGGGGCCATCTAAACCCATTCATCCCTAACTGAAACACCAGGTGACTGCAGAGATCAGCCAAGCTGACCCAGGCCAGAAAAACTGTTCAGAATCATGAACAGATTGGGTACTAAGTTTGAAGGGCAGGTTATATGCAGCAAAGGCTGATACACCTGTGCTAAAAGACTGCACCCACAAGGTCATGGTACCTCACCTGCGTGGTTCTCTGTGCTGTTCCACCAACCTGTCTGTCTTGCCTTGTGCTTCTGAGCCAGCTTCTCCTCTTCCCTCTCCCGCTACCTTCCACCGACTCGTCCATGATCCCACACACTCATTTCCCTCCGAGTCTTACATTGGGCTCCTATTCTCCTCCTGGTTTGTCCTCGCTTCCTGGACAAGCTCATTCTGGGTTTGTACACATGTTCCCCTGCCTCGTGACTCCCGAACTTTTACCCCTTCCTGAATTCCAGGGCCCCGAGCAATACGACCAAATTCAAAGTCACCAAGGTCCTCCCAAAGAAGGCATTACTTGTCTCAGGTTAATGGAAATACCACGTGAACCCAGAAATCCAGTCTTCTTCCCCTCCTCTCATCATCCTTTGCCCAATCCTTCTCCATATCCCACCTGATCAATTCTGCCTCCATAGTGGATCACTGGAGTGGGGGCTCTCCCTTGCTACCCTGTCTTGAGAGAGTGGCCCATTCTTTCTACCTCTAAATAAATCTTAAAGAGAGAGAGAGAGAGAGAGAGAGAGAGAGAAAAGAAAAACCACACAAGAGAGATCGCAAACCCAAATCCCCACAGGGATGAGATAGATGTTAATTAACACGCTGCTGTAGTGTGAAGAGCACAGGAGACAGAGGTGGGGACTGTGGCAGACCACACAGGGCACACCCATCTGAGCAGGGTGACCTCAGGCTGGCTGGGGCTAGCTATCTTTACCAGGAGGGCTGGGGCCCTAGCACAGACAGACCTTCTGATTTTTTTAAAAAGATTTATTTATTTTATTTGAAAGTCAGCATTACACAGACAGAGAATGAAAGGCAGAGAGAGAGAGGTCTTCCATCCTCTGGGTCACTCCCCAATTGGCCACAATGGTCAGAGCTGTGCTGATCTGAAGCCAGGAGCCTGGAGCTTCTCCCGGGTCTCCGGTGTGGGTGGCAGGGGCCCAAAGACTTGGGCCATCTTCTAGTGCTTTCCCAGGCCATAGCAGATAGCTGGATCAGAAGTGGAGCAGCCGGGACTCGAACCAGTGCCTATGGGACACTGGCACTGTAGGAGGAGGCTTTACCCATTACACCACAGTGCCAGCCCCCTGATTTCTTAAGAGAAGGTAGAAATGTGTGTGTGTGTGTGTGTGTTTTTGTAAACATAAAATCTTTCAGGTGAAGTGTTGGCAACTGATTTTACTTAAAGGTACACCCAAGGGAGCCAAGGCCTCTCATCTTTGGCCTTCATAAAACCCACGCAACTCTGCCAGGACAATACTCCACCTTCAGGAGTGGAAATGAACAAGAGGGCTCTGGAGAGAGGCCCAGCCTGGCTCTGCCCCACCGTCCATGTGGGGAGGGGCAGAGAACGACAGTCTCAGATTTATCCAGAACCTTGGGAGCAGCTGCCCTTCCTTTCTTAAGAAAGTGTTACTTTTCCTTCTGGTTTCAAGTCTCTTGCATGAGAACACCTTGCAGAGGTGGCTTTAGTGTGCTCCTGGGCACAGCCCCGGGGACCTGGGGCCCCTCAACACTGGGGTAACAGCCCTGCTCTGCTTGAAGCTCATCTTGCGAGTCAGCTCTCTCGGGGGAGGGCAGCTTCTTTAAACCTGGACATGAAAATGCCTCATTTGAAACTCCCTGGTTAATCAGTAACCACTGTGAAATACTGAGAGGTCACTCACATAGTAAGGAACAAACGCACTTCTGTTTCCAGGGCCTCTAACAGGTAACTTGCAAAAATAAATAAATAAATAAATAAAGCTCTATCTCAAGTCCCATTGGGTTCTTAAGGTAACTTGCACTGAACAAGTGGAAGGACGGCCTCCACCAGGCTTTCTCCGCTGGATTTATTCAATGCTAGCAAGACTTTACTCAGCAGAACAAACAAAGGAAGTGGGTTCTAGTGCAACCTTTTATTTGCTGGAGCTCCCACCCTCTGCCCTAGCAAAGCTTTGTTTTGTCATTCACTTTTTTCCCCCCCAAAGAGAAAGTTCTCTGACCCAGCACAAACTGTCTCTATTACGCTTCCACCTTCCTTCAAATGGTCAAATACCACTCCACCTGCCCAAAAGCATGCCAAGGGCTGAGAGCAGGCCAGGCTGTCAGCGTGGCCTCTGGTTTTTCACGTGAACATGAAGGTGATGCGCTGGGCAGCTCTGTGTGAACTGTGGCAATGACCTTCACCGGTACCGGAGCTATCGTCTAGCAAGGATCACACGACCTCTTGCAACACAGCTAATGGTATAAAACACGACCCCCGCCAGCCAAGACAACTTTCCTTTTCATCAGGCCCCCCTCCCCACTCCCCGTCCCCCGGCCTCACCTTCTCAGAGTCACCAGGAGTGGGGAAGAAGTCTGACAGGGTGACCATGACCCAAAGCAAAACACCAAATGTGAATTTCAATTAAACTCCAGATGGTGATTTTTAGGCAGCTATTAGTAAAGCGAAGGTGTGTGTGTGTGTGTGTGTGTGTGTGATCAGTTTATCCTCTCCGTACCCTTTATACCACACAGCACATTAGGCAGCTTTCAGAGTGTTTAAACGCCATTGTGGCAGAATAGTCACGTAGACAACATTTAAAAACACACCAAAGCAGCCAGCGTTCTGTAAGACTTCAGCGCTTCCCTGTATTGCCCAGCAGACAGGAGGCCGAGGCTAACTCTTACATGGAGCAAGGGGGTAGAAGATGCAGGAGGGACAGGCGGTAGCCGAGCACACCGCAAGGAGCAGATGAGCCAGGGAACAGGCAAGGAGCAGAGGCAGACAAGCTCCGGCGTGGGTGGGCTGCGTGGGAACAACCTCCTCTCTGCTTCCAGGAACCTTCATCTTGGGTTCTCAGCTCAAGGCAGCCTAGGGAGCGAGTGCTGCTCACCCTATAACCTCATGTGCAGGTCTCTCAGTCACATCGCCATCGTGGCTACCCTGTTCACTTGTGGCTTGTCTCTGACCAGGAGCCCCACAAGGGCAGGGAACTTGTCTGTTTTAGTCAGCACTATAAGCAGCAGCATGGAGCACACTGTCTGGGCTGGTGGAGGTCCCTGATATACGTATGAATGAACTACAAAGGTGTAGTCTATTCTTCTACAACAGGTAGCCACTTAGTCAAGTTCAGCGCAGCACCTCTGGGACATGGTGGTAGTTCTGCTTCCTGTTAGAGATGTGGTTGGAGCAAGATGGTCCATAAGTCTAGCTTCTGTGTCGTGTAGTTGCTGAACTGCTGTTGGCTCCATTATCCATGGGGAATCACATCCCCCAAGCCTGCAAAGCAACTCGGGCAGGCTTGGGACAGCTTGCTGCTGCTGGGGAAGCTGCTAGGGTCACTGCAGGGCACGAACAAGTGACTACAGATGAACGAGTGAGATCAAAGACACCGCTACTAAAAGCAGGGGTGATGGCTCAAGTAACGGGGTCTTCGTCACGCCCATG